AGGTTGGTAGACAGCAACCACCCAGGGGGGTACTACCGTCCTGCCAAGCAAGTGTGAAATGAAAGCCTGTAACTGTTTTACATGATGGTAGGATTGCTGGTGTCCTTTTTTCTGTCTCATAAACATGTAAGATTTCAGGTATGTCTTGCTACTTCTACTTACACTTAGGTCACACTACACATACAAGCATATATATACACACACACCCCTCTGGGTTTTCTGCTATTTTCTTTTTAGTTCTTGTATTTGTTTATTTCCTCTTATCTCCATGGGGAAGTGGAACAGAATTCTTCCTACGTAAGCCATGCGTGTTGTAAGAGGCGACTAAAATGTCGGGAGCAAGAGGTTAGTAACCCCTTCTCTTGTACAAATTACTAAATTTAAAAAGAGAAACTTTTGTTTTTCTTTTTGGGCCACCCTGCCTCAGTGGGATATGGCCAGTTTGTTGAAAGAAGAAAGATTTCTCCTCTTCTCCTTTTAACAGCTAAGGATAGTGTATCTAATGCTTTCAGCCTTTCTTCATACTATATACCAGTACAATATACTGTACTAGAGATTTGCCTAACATCTGGTGGCTAAAGCTCCCGCTTCACACACTGAGGGCCCGGGTTTGATTCCCGGCGGGTGGAAATTCCGACACGTTTCCTTACACCTATTGTCCTGTTCACCTAGCAGCAAATAGGTACCTGGGTGTTAGTCGACTGGTGTGGGTCGCATCCTGGGGGACAAGATTAAGGACCCCAATGGAAATAAGTTAGACAGTCCTCGATGACGCCCTGACTTTCTTGGGTTATCCTGGGTGGCTAACCCTCCGGGGTTAAAAATCCGAACAAAATCTTATCTTATCTCTTATCTCTCTCAAATCAAACTCTGAATTTTTGCCAAAAATATTTGCTTTTTCACTTGTATAAATCCACCCTAATTTTTAATGGACAACAAAATAATTTAAACACTGCTTAATACTAAAATACATAAATACAAAAGAAATAGATAAAATAAATAAAATTTAACCTCACTTTACTTTGCTGAAGAGAGTCGAGTGCCCACTAGGATAGTGCTGAGAAGGGAGGAGGAGGAAATGTTATTGTTTGGAAGGAGAGTCCCTTTCTCTTGTCAGTCTCTTTTCCCTACATGGACCTGGTTGAAGCTCACCAGGTTTGACTTTTACTAAAAATCTCTCCAAAGAACTTTGCTTCTGTCTTCTCCTTGGGATGTTTCGAAAATGTGACAATGTCTGGTCATTCCAGACAATGTCTGTTATGGCTTGTTTGGGCCTTGTTGCAGTGGTACTTCTCTGCAAAGTTTTTGATGTTCATCCATTTGACAAATATTTCCTTTATTAATGAAGAAGGGGCTTCCTCTATCTCCTCTTCTGAGCCTGAAGAGAGTGCATCCATCTTAGTCTTGTGCTCCTCCTTCTCAAGTTCCTGCAGCTCCTCTCATTAACTTTCTTAGAACTATTGGTTCTAAGAAAGTTAATGAAAATCACATGAAAATTCACAGAGTTACAGAGCAGGTTGTTCAATGAATGGTAGCAACGGGCATACTGACACTAGTGGGCAGTCGTGGCTTTGTCTCTCGAGAGAGGTAAACAAGGATAACACGCGATGTCGTGACTCATTTTGACCCATACAAGTTCTAGCATGCAAGTCATATTCCAAACAAAGGTCACATACCAATCAAAAATTTTCACATCCAAACAGGACGTATACCATGTTGGACTTATTCCAAAGCGGACGTATACCGAGGTACCACTGTACAGTGGACCCTCGACCAACGATGGCATCGATTAACGATAAATCCGACTAGTGATACATTTTAACGCAAAAATTTTGCCTCGACTAGTGCTAAAAAACTCGACCAACACTATTCGTTCCGTCTGAGATGCGTCCACTTCTGGCCAGTGTTTACAAGCCAGCCAGCCAGCCACCGCGGTCGCTTCCAAGCATACAATTAGAACATTTCATATTATCACAGCCTTTTTAGTGATTGCACCTGCAAAATAAGTCACCATGGGCCCCAAGAAAGCTTCTAGTGCCAACCCTACAGCAAAAAGGGTGAGAATTACTATGGATATGAAGAAAGAGATCATTGCTAAGTATGAAAGTGGAGTGCGTGTCTCCGAGCTGGCCAGGTTGTACACAAAACCCCAATCAACCATCGCTACTATTGTGGGTAAGAAAACGGCAATCAAGGATGCTGTTCTTGCCAAAGGTGCAACTATGTTTTACGAAACTGAGATCGCAAGTACTCGAAGATGTTGAGAGACTGTTATTGGTGTGGATAAACGAAAAACAGATAGCAGGAGATAGCATCTCTCAAGCGATCATATGTGAAAAGGCTAGGAAGTTGCATGATGATTTAATTAAAAAAATGCCAGCAACTAGTGGTGATGTGAGTGAATTTAAGGCCAGCAAAGGTTGGTTTGAGAGATTTAAGGGGAAGGGAAGTAACCCCGGAAAAGGACTTGCCACCTCAAGTCCTAATGGAAGGGGATTCCCCTTCTAAACACTAAGACCATCAACACTCTCCCCTCCTCCCATCCCATCAATCATCACCAGATCTTCAATAAAGGTAAGTGTCATGTAACTGCGCATGTCTTCTTCAGTTTGTGTGTATTAAAATTAATATTTCATGTGGTAAAAACAATTTTTTTTTCATACTTTGGGGTGTCCTACACGGATTAATTTGATTTCCATTATTTCTTATGGGGAAAATTAACTTGACTAACGATAATTTTGACTAACGATGAGCTCTCAGAAACGGATTAATAGCGTTAGTCGAGGGTCCACTGTATTACCTGGAGTTTACCTGGAGAGAGTTCCGGGGGTCAACGCCCCCGCGGCCCAGTCTGTGACCAGGCCTCCTGGTGGATCAGAGCCTGATCAACCAGGCTGTTACTGCTGGCTGCATGCAAACCAACGTACGAGCCACAGCCCGGCTGGTCAGGAACCGACTTTAGGTGCTTGTCCAGTGCCAGCTTGAAGACTGCCAGGGGTCTGTTGGTAATTCCCCTTATGTATGCTGGGAGGCAGTTGAACAGTCTTGGGCCCCTGACACTTATTGTATGGTCTCTTAACGTGCTAGTGACACCCCTGTTTTCATTGGGGGGATGTTGCATCGTCTGCCAAGTCTTTTGCTTTCGTAGTGAGTGATTTTCGTGTGCAAGTTCGGTACTAGTCCCTCTAGGATTTCAGGTGTATATAATCATGTATCTCTCCCGCCTGCGTTCCAGGGAATACAGGTTTAGGAACCTCAAGCGCTCCCAGTAATTGAGGTGTTTTATCTCCGTTATGCGCGCCGTGAAGGTTCTCTGTACATTTTCTAGGTCAGCAATTTCACCTGTCTTGAAAGGTGCTGTTAGTGTGCAGCAATATTCCAGCCTAGATAGAACAAGTGACCTGAAGAGTGTCATCATGGGCTTGGCCTCCCTAGTTTTGAAGGTTCTCATTATCCATCCTGTCATTTTTCTAGCAGATGCGATTGATACAATGTTATGGTCCTTGAAGGTGAGATCCTCCGACATGATCACTCCCAGGTCTTTGACGTTGGTGTTTCGCTCTATTTTGTGGCCAGAATTTGTTTTGTACTCTGATGAAGATTTAATTTCCTCGTGTTTACCATATCTGAGTAATTGAAATTTCTCATTGTAGATGAATGTAGTTGAACTTCATATTGTTTTCTGCAGCCCACTGAAAGATTTGGTTGATGTCCGCCTGGAGCCTTGCAGTGTCTGCAATGGAAGACACTGTCATGCAGATTCAGGTGTCATCTGCAAAGGAAGACACGGTGCTGTGGCTGACATCCTTGTCTATGTCGGATATGAGGATGAGGAACAAGATGGGAGCGAGTACTGTGCCTTGTGGAACAGAGCTTTTCACCGTAGCTGCCTCAGACTTTACTCTGTTGACGACTACTCTCTGTGTTCTGTTAGTGAGGAAATTATAGATCCATCGACCAACTTTTCCTGTTATTCCTTTAGCACGCATTTTGTGCGTTATTACGCCATGATCACACTTGTCGAAGGCTTTTGCCAAGTCTGTATATATTACATCTGCATTCTTTTTGTCTTCTAGTGCATCTAGGACCTTGTCGTAGTGATCCAATAGCTGAGACAGACAGGAGCGACCTGTTCTAAACCCATGTTGCCCTGGGTTGTGTAACTGATGGGTTTCTAGATGGGTTGTGATCTTGCTTCTTAGGACCCTTTCAAAGATTTTTATGATATGGGATGTTAGTGCTATCGGTCTGTAGTTCTTTGTTGTTGCTTTACTGCCCCCTTTGTGGAGTGGGGCTATGTCTGTTGCTTTTAGTAAATATGGGACGACCCCGTGTCCATGCTCCCTCTCCATAGGATGGAAAAGGCTCGTGATAGGGGCTTCTTGCAGTTCTTGATGAGCACGGAGTTACATGAGTCTGGCCCTGGGGCAGAGTGCATGGGCATGTCATTTATCGCCTGTTCGAAGTCATTTGGCATCAGGATAACATCGGATAGGCTTGTGTTAACCAAATTCTGTGGCTCTCTCATAAAAAATTCATTTTGATCTTCGACTCTCAGTCTTGTTAGCGGCTTGCTAAAAACCGAGTCATATTGGGACTTGAGTAGCTCACTCATTTCCTTGTATAGTGAAAGTCAATCTTTAATAGAGCCAGCACTGTGTTAAAGTCAATATTGAATGTCAGATCTGAAGAGCAGCTTGTTCCATGCTAAAAAAAAAAAAATATGTTAAAGTATGCTCCCAGTTTAATAAGAACAAGAACACAGTGAACTATGTAACACAAAAGAAGCCTTGATTTAATCATCCTCGAGAATATTAACACATAGGAAGAACTCATGTGCTATCCTGCAGAATATTCAATAGGTGTTTTATGGAACACATAAAGCACATCACTGACTTCTTTAAGAAAAACATAAATAAATACAAGATGGATTAGAACAACTATCTTAAGGCAAAAAAAAAAAAAAATCCTTTAGAGTTTTTATCTAAAATGACTCATACCTTTGTAATACCTAGTCCTTTTCTTGTGACTGAGGAGGCAGATAAGGAGGAATGGGTGACTCGACGGTGAAGTCTCTCCACTTCAGGATCATCCACTATCAACTTGCAAGGGAATTCTGTTCCACGCTGAAAGAACATTATATCTGGACACAACCGTCTGCAAGAGAGTGCTATTTTCAAGATAAAATTATAATAAATTACATCTATGAAATATAACCACATACTGGAATGCAACATCCAAATAAAACTAAAATGCATCCTCAGATTTACTATCCCTTATAGACTAGGTTTTGATTCAGACTTAATGTTTTTCTTACTCTGCCACTAAACTCTATTCTATTTTCAATAAAATTTATATAAACTTCAAAATGTAGGTATAACACCAATTTACTGGCAACAGATCATCCATCACCTCTTTTAGTTTGGATAAAAGTTATGTGCCTACTTATTTTATCAAAATAGTTTACCTGGTGGCCACAGATGGCATTGTATGTACTGTGTGTTCATTTATGTTGTTTACACTGCAGATGTTGGTGATGATCCCTTGATTCTGTGCAATTCTTACAATATTTTGCTAACAATTAACCCTAACCTAGGTAGTAGGTTGACAGACAGATAGACAGCAACTGCCCAGGGAGGTACTACCGTCCTGCCAAGTGATTGTATAACAGAAGCTTGTAAATGTTTTACATAAGATTGCTGGTGTCTTTTCTGTCTCATAAACACGCAAGATTTCAGGTACATCTTGCTTCTTCTACTAACACTTGGGTCACACTATACACACACCCTTCTGGGGTTTCTTTATTCTTACCGGTTCTTGTTTTTGTTTATTTCCTCTTATCTCCATGGGGAAGTGGAACAAATTCTTCCTTCGTAAGCCATGCATGCCGTAAGAGGTGACTAAAATGCCAGGAGCATGGGGCTAGTAACCCCCTTTCCCAGTATACATTACTAAATTTATAAAGAGAAACTTTCGTTTTTATTTTTGGGACACCCTGTCTCGGTGGGATATGGCTGGAGCTTTGAAAGAAAAAGAATTAACCCTAGCCATGGCTAGTGATTAGCTCTGCAACTACAATAAAATTCTAAAATTTACCACTTTGGGAGAGGTAGTAATGCAATATTCTTGGTAAATACAGTAATAAATAAACCTGTTTCAAAAGGATTAATGAAGTGCTGTATAACAAAGACATTGCACTAAAACAACATTCTAATTACTCTTCAATACAGGGAATAAATCTGAGGGCTCCTCTACCATGTGGGCCCATATAAACAACACATGCTAAACAACAAATTCAACATGTTTTGTTACTACACGCCCAGATGCAAAGACAAGACCATGAAAGCACAACAAATGCTCAAAATCCCTACATAATGTATTACACGCAGGAACTTCATTAAAATGTCCAAATTGTTATGAAGGACCAAGCCTCACATCAACAAACTACCCAAGATACAGTATGTCTAAATACATCTTCAACCGGCAGAGACTAAAATTTATGTACAGTACTTAGAAACCCTACTTCCCATATCATCCCATCTACTCTTGGTAATGCATTCATATATCACAAGGCCTCCCCTAATAAACACTTAATATAAATAAAAATCAAACTGCTAAGAGGCATCATCCCACTTGCCATTACTGTTGATAGTAATCAGTCAATTCCTTCTCTACCTATCCATAAAAGATAAAACTCTTGCTAACCCAGCTCCTGCCAGAACACTTGTAAACATTATTACAGAGGGCAATCTTCTTAACAAAGTTAGTGAGACATATGACATACATGACAAAAAATAACTTTTCCTCTGCTTATGAAATAAATGACTTTTATTAACTAAGGTATTGTGATTCCAAATCTGATGGGAATTGACTCAGTACACCTGGAGTTTTAATTATAAAAAAGACATTTTTAAAATATCAAGCACAATGCTCAATGCCCAATTATGACTGCATGCTGTTTAATTGCAATGAGCAATACTCAACACATGTGAAAATTGATTTTCAATTTGTTCTGTAAACTAAGAATCCTTACATGTTGAGCTAATTCTGATTTCAAGTTCAAAATCAGCATACTCAATTTATTCAAAAACACATGCTTTTGCCTTAGTGTCAAACTGTTTTTCAATGTTTCTGGTGAAAATCATAAACACCATTTTCAAGAAGAGGAGAAAATTATATTTCTAAGCTTGATACATCAAAGTTGAAAATGTAAGAGAACAATGACTTATGATGAGTGTTTATAATTTTTTATCATTAGAAAATCTTTCAAAACCTAAATACTGCTACTGTGCAGCACACACCTGACATCCTTATCAATCTGTGCTAGAACTTCATTGTCTTTGAAGTAAGATCCCCATGGAGAATCTGGGTTAGGATTAAGGGGATGGTCATCTACATGGTTGTTTCCGCTGCCGTTCTTACTCAGTCGAGCTGGTTCAACTACCATCTCCTCTGGAACAGTAAAATACTTTACGGTTCACCAAACTGAGAATGCATAAATCGCAATATCATATATATATACCCAGCATGTGCACAAGTACAAGATAAATACACAAAAAACAGTTTAGCTACAAACAGGTAGAATATCAATATGTATTTACACTAACCCACAAAATGGCGATACTGTGCTCTCTTTTTGTTAAGTGTGTCATTCCACTGGCTGGTATCGAGGGGAAGGTAATGAAGTAGCAGCTTCCAACATAATGCTCGTCGACCAGCTTCATCAGGAGCCCCTGATCAGTAACAGATAAATTATGGAAATAATAACGACACTTAAAGAAGCGAAATTATATAGTCAAAAAATATTTTCTCATGAGTGTAAATATTAATGAGAGTTGAGTAATAATTCAAGACAGAGATGCCTTCTAAAACCCAAAATGAGCCCAAATCCAAAACTTATTATGGAGAAAAAACTTTGTGGCATTTGCCAATTCTGGATTCGTAAAGACCCCAAGAAATGTAACTCATCCACATTCAAATATAGTAAAGCAGTTTGGTCCCTCATTATAAAATTTAATATTCCTATTACAAAAAGAGTAAAATGGAATGAAATATGAGAACACAAACTATTATATATAGAGCTTGAACTACATGAAGCTCATCACTGCTGCATGGATTCCTTCTGAAATACAGATACTGTATTTTAACTCCAGAATGGGCTTAGTTCTGAGCAATCAGGATTCTCATGAAAAAAAGGAAAAAAGGTAGTTTTCAGTGCGACAGAACTGAAGCTTTTATATTTTATATATATTATATATATATATATATATATATATATATATATTATATATATATTAATATATATATATATATATATATATATGCGCAATAAGATCACAGTAAACAGGTGATTTCAGAATATGCAAAACAACCACTCTGAAAGAATAGAGAAATTCCAAGCGCTCTCGTGACTACTCACATTATCAAGGAACTATGAAAGTAAAGCATACAAGGAAGCTATATAAGGGGTCTGGCCAGCACCTCACTATCAGATCCCACAACGGTTAAACACCTGACGCGCGCCGACCCAACTTGGATAGGTCCTTTGCACAACTCACCCCACAAACTATTCTACCCAAGAAAATTTTAAAATTATTTGTCCAGTGTATTATTAAATTCTTCCCAAATTCTATTAATTATAAATGGATCTAATTTATATAAACCAAAGGAAATATTCATATTATTGTCAAAACTGCTTTTTATGAAACAAGATTCAATTATATTCCTGTCAACCCTGGACTTGCTTGATACTACTTTCTCAACTTTTTGAAAATCAATGGATGGTTAAAATCTCTTACATGAATAAATAGAGCATTGGAATCTTGTCCAGTTCTAATGCTATATTTATGTTGTTTTAATCTTAGTTCGAGATTTTTAAACCCGTTTGACCGTAATAAACTTTATCGCAAATTTTACAAGGAATCTTATAGACACATCCATCAGCATTTGGGGGGAATTCTTATCAAAAGTTTTTTTACTGTATCAAGATTTTTGAATACAACTTTAATATTAAAAAGTCTTAAAAAGAAAAAGGCATATAACCCCAAGTTTTCAGGGTAAGGGAAAAAAAAACATTTTTTTTAGTTGAATAAGGTTGGTTTTTTCCCTTTTTGGGATTGTAAAATTTTATTTTAGCAAATTTAAAAGATTTATAAATTACATTTCTTGGGTTTTTTAAAAATCATTACCTATTTCAAAAATTTTGGATTTTCCTCTTTTATGAACTCAGGACTAAAAATTCTTTAAAGCTCTAAAAAAACATTGATGGGGAAAACAGACAGTTTTGCCCTCTATCTTGATGCGGGGGAATAATAGTGGACATAGGAACAGTTTTTTTGTAGGTTTTCTGTAAATTTTAAATTTAAAATTCATTATTCCCCTTAAAAATTTAAAAACATCTAAAAAAAGGCAAGATTATTTTCTTAAAATCAACAGTAAAGTTTATAGAATGGGCAAGCTATTTTTTTTAAAGGGAAAATGGTGTATATCTTTTTTTTTGGGGCAAAAGACAAAAAAATATCATAACATATCTGAAGCATTTAGCTCTTTTGGGGAGGATTGGTTAAGAAACCCTTTTTTTAAAAAAATTCCTTTTATGGTTTATAAGAAAAGGTAAAAAAGGGGAAATTCCCCTTTGGCCATACCAAACTTTGAGTGTAAAATTTTCATTATTTGTATTTAATGATTTTTTTTTAAAATGATAAGTTTTACCTCGAATTTGTTGGTTTCCCCCCTTTTCCATGAAAAATTGGTTGATATGCCCTTTTCTTTTTAAAAACTTTTTTAAAATTAAAAATTGTATTCAAAAAAACTTTATACAGTAAAAAAAACCTTTTTTAAAAGAATTCCCCCCCCAAAAAAGGGGGATGTGTCAATAAAATTCCTTGTAAAAATTTTCGATAAAATTTTTTTACGGTCAAAAAGGTTTAAAAAAATTGAACTAAGATTTAAAAAAACCCTAAAAATTTTGCATTAGAATGGGCAAAAATTCCCAAAGCTCTATTTTTTCATGTAAAAAATTTTAACCCTCCAATTGATTTTTTTAAAAAGTTGGAAAAATAAGGGGGGGATCAAACAAGTCCCTGGTTTTACAGGGTTTTAATTGAATCTTTTCATAAAAAGCAGTTTTGGGCAAAAATATGAATTTTCCTTTGGTTTTTTAAATTAGATTCCCTTTTTTAATTAAAAGAAATTTTGGGAAAAATTTAATAATACATGGACAAAAAAATTTTAAAAATTTTTTTGGTAGAATAGTTTGGGGGTGAGTTGTGCAAAGGACCTTTTCCAAGTTGGGCGGCGGCGTAGGTGTTTAAAACCCTTTGGGATCTGTAGTGAGGTGCTGGCCAGGGCCCTTTTATACTTCCTTGGATGTTTACTTTCCCTAGTTTTCCCTTTATAATGTGAGTATCACGAAGCGCTTGGAAATTTTTTTTCTTTCAGAGTGGGGTTTTTTTTGCTATATAAATATATATATTTATATTTTTTATATAATATATAAAATATTTATATATTATATATTATAATAATATATATTAATATAAATATATCATAATTTTAAAATACATACATATATAATACATATATAATCATATATAATACTATATATAACATATATACTACAAAATATATAACCCTACATATATTTAATACATATTAAATACATATTTACATACTTTTTTAAAAAACAATATACATACATATATATATATATATATATTTTTATTATATTATATTATATATATATTTTAAATATTATATTATATATATATATATTATATATATATCGTACAGGGGACCCCCCCCATAACGATGGCAAAACTTTGCGATTTTTCGCATACCCCTTACTTTAATCGCAAAAATTTTTGCCGCGCAAAACCCTTTAAAAACCCCCTCAACCCATTTTGTCCAGACGGCCAATGTTTCCCCTCAGCCACCTCACCTGTGCCGGGCCCCCGGGCCCAAATTTTCCCAGCCAGCCTCCCCCCTAACATCCAAGCTACACTCGGGAAAATTTTGTATTAATTTCAGTGTTTTTTGGGCTGTTTTTGGAAAATAATTTCCCGGGCCCCAAAAAAGCTTTTTAGTGGCCCCAACCCAACACCAATAAGGGTAAGAATACCCATTTTAAATGAAGAAAGAGATCATTGATAAGTAAAAAGTGGGGTGCGTATCGCCGACCCAGTCAAGTTGTACCAAGGAAAACCCCCAAACCAAACCCTCGCTACTATTGTGGGCACCAAAAAAAACAATCAAGGGGGCTGTTCTTGCCAAAGGTTTAACTTGTTTTTTGAAAAAAAAGATGCAAATGGGTGGAAGATGTTGAGAGACTCTTTTGGGGTGGATAAATGGAAAAAAAGCTAGCAGGAGATAGCGCTCTCACGATCCTTTTGTGAAAAAAGGTAGGAAGTTGCATGACGATTTAATTTAAAAAAAAGCCTGAACCCAGTTTATTTATGTGAGTGAATTTAAGGGGAGCAAAAATTGGTTTTAGAGATTTAAGAAGCGTAGTGGCATCCATAGTGTGATAAGGCATGGTGAGGCTGCCAGTTCGGACCACAAAGCGGCTGAAAAATATGTGCAGGAATTCAAGGAGTACATAGAAACTGAAGGACTGAAACCTGAACAAGTGTTTAATTGTGATGAAACAGGCCTGTTCTGGAAGAAAATGCCAAGCAGGACCTACATTACTCAGGAGGAAAAGGCACTCCCAGGACATAAGCCTATGAAAGACAGGCTTACTCTTCTCATGTGTGCCAATGCTACTGGTGATTGCAAAGTGAAGCCTTTATTAGTGTATCACTCTGAAACTCCCAGAGCGTTCAGGCAAAAGAATGTCCTCAAGGATAATTTGTGTGTGCTGTGGAGGGCAAACAGTAAGGCATGGGTCACTAGGGAATTTTTCTATAACTGGTTACACCATGCATTTGCCCCCAATGTGAAAGATTACCTAACTGAAAAGAAATTAGAACTTAAGTGCCTCCTGGTGTTAGACAATGCCCCTGGTCATCCTACAGACGTGGCAGAGCGACTTTATGGGGACATGAGCTTCATTAAGGTGAAGTTTTTGCCTCCTAATACCACTCCTCTCCTGCAGCCCATGGACCAGCAGGTTATTTCCAACTTCAAGAAACTGTACACAAAAGCTCTGTTTGAAAGGTGCTTTGTAATGACCTCAGAAACTCAACTGACTCTAAGAGAGTTTTGGAGAGATCACTTTAATATCCTCAATTGTGTAAACCTTATAGGTAAGGCTTGGGAGGAAGTGACTAAGAGGACCTTGAACTCTGCTTGGAAGAAACTGTGGCCAGAATGTGTAGACAAAAGGGATTTTGAAGGGTTTGAGGCTAACCCTGAGAATCTGTGCCAGTTGAGGAATCCATTGTGGCATTGGGAAAGTCCTTGGGGTTGGAGGTTAGTGGGGAGGATGTGGAAGAGTTGGTGGAGGAGGACAATGAAGAACTAACCACTGATGAGCTGATAGATCAACTTCAAGAGCAAGAGGCCAGACCTGGGGAAACTGGTTCAGAGGAGGGGAGAGAGAAATTGAAGAAGTTGCCTACTACAAAGATAAAGGAAATCTGTGCAAAGTGGCTTGAAGTGCAAACCTTCATGGATGAAAATCACCCTCACACAGCTATTGCAAGCCGTGTTGCAACTTACACTGACAATGTTGTGAAACACTTTAGGGAAGTGATAAAGGAACGAGAGGTACAGGCCACTATGGACAGATATC